ACTCCCAGCGGCCTCGGCCCTCCCGGTCGTTCAGGCCTTAAAAGGTTCGAGAGAAATCGGTCATTTGAATCCAGGTCAAACATTCCATGTGCAATATGTACGTCTGAAATTCAATTCAAGTCAAATGAAAGTGCCTTACATAAAAACACATTAAAAGAACATGAAAAAGGCAGGTCTCCACACGCTTGACTAACTAACTGAGCATACCTGAGCATAGATCATAGATCTCATGCACACACACACACACACACATACACCCACAATATATACAATATGGCCCCCCTAGCCCTCTGCTACCCCACCATCCAATGATATCTTCAACTTTTCCCTGACACCACTGTGGAGAAACATTGTCTTTGGGATCCGAATGTGTTCATTTCTGTCAACCTTTCTATTTTTTCCATGTGTTACCTGGTAAAAACACCACAAACAAAAATCCCCGTCAGAATTGAACCTAAAGTCTTCTTGTTCTTTTTCGGTCGATCAATACAAACTGCAAACGTTGTCATTGGTTGGGGAATAGTAAAATGCCAAATGCCATGTTCCAGTAGTAATGAAATGCCATATTTCAGCTCTCAAGTAGTTTTATTGTATGTCAGTGTACTTCAGAAAAAGCGTATTGCCTGTCCCTCTGTGTGGGCTGAGAGCAAACTACTCTGATTTTTCACAAATATTCATGCGTTTTACAAGAAGGCCTCGGCCATGTTCTCCTGCTGAGGGCACTAAGGTCCATCAGAGTGAACAGGAGTCCCTTCTGAATGCTAATGCTACCGTGTTTCTTTCTGCTGCTAGCTGCTGGAGCAGTAAAGTGGCAGAAAGAGACCGTCTGCTGGACCCCGTCAAGCACGTGGGCGAGGAGAGGATTCTAACAAAAATAACATCCATCCAGGATACCCCACTCCGCCCCCCGGCATGAACCATTATGGGCTTTGAGTAGCTCCTCCAGCCATTTGAACTGGACCAGCAAAGCACTGATGCAGAAGCTATATCGATATGTTTGGTGTCAGCCAGTGACTCACCTGTTCTATCACTCTATCACAAACCCATTCAAACAAGTTATTTCTGTTATCAGTATAAAAAAGTAAAACTGTTCCATACTAATTATTATTCGGTGAACTGTCGAATAGCTGAAATCGACTCAGTGTCCTGAGGTGAAACTTATTGTTGATTATGCACCGCATAATGATGCTGCATTGAGCTGGACACCCACCTATCCAGAATGGCTTTCTTCCACTGAAGTCCCACAGCCAGTCCATGTTGGCTTTGGAGAGAACACTGGCCAGAGTTCCCTTATATCTGACATTAAAAAGGGACAAAACGTTTTTTTTCTTTATGAAGAGCGTAAAAAGAGAGCATGAATGAGATTATACAGCCTTAATACGTGACTGACAACTGAGCCGAGCGTGTATGTCCATGTGAAATCTGCTAATCCTGTGAGGAATCGTGTGTTTGAGAACTGTACCTCTCTCTGCAGGCCTTGTTGGCTTCACTCCACGTGACTCTGCGCTCAGTACTCAGTATGTGGCACCGGCCGTCATTGAAGGTCCAGCCCTGACCGCACACCTGGGCGCTCACCATCTGAGGACACGTGCACACATGTGGACATCGGTCAGCAGATTTTGGCTAATTAGTGGTGAGTCAGATCAACAGATTGAAATGGAGACTCTTTACAGCATTCTGTAATCAATAATCTGTATCAATGATCCTTGTGGGCTGGTTTTCCTTGTGTATTTGTACCTTGTCGGTTGGTACCCAGGGTTTCCAGGAGACGCCGTCACAGTGGAAGAGCTGCTTGATGCTTTGGTTGAGATGCAGGAGTCCCATCAACTCAGGAACGCAGGGTTTAGGGACAGGATTATCTGCTGCTGCCTATGGGCCAGCAGAACATTTGATTTCAGAAAAAACAGCACATTCAGAATTTTGTGATCATCTAATTAATCATTTTCTTTTCACCAACTCCAGCCCCCAAAATCTCTTAGTTTTTCAAGGCATCCCCATACTGTACATTTTTATACGTAGTCACATTTATATAAATCAGATATTTATCAGTTATTTAAAAACACTGACTACTCATCGACACTTCTACTAAGTCTTGACACAAAACAATTCATGGTTAACTTTGTCTACTGGTATTATAGTTTATTAAAGGTTAGATGTGAATGAATTCTATCAGTGTTTTTCTTGCTGAGTGACCCTTGCGTTGTAAAAGAATGAGGCTAAAAGAAATAAAAAGCTACAAATTCACACCAATGCAGAACTTCTCTTTGCTGTCTTTATATGGAAGCGTTTCTGTCCCATAATTCAAACGAAAAAGCCTCAACGGAAATGCTTTTTCATTTTAACAATATAGCTGCATTTTCTGACTCAAAGATGAAATGATTAATTATTAATCCAAGTTGCATTTCCATTTTCTTCTTCAAGACGGATCGTGTTGTAACATAATTAAAATGAGAAAGAAAATGATATTGCTTTTTCCTTTTCATGCCAGCCCAATGCAAATAATGCAACAATCCAATTATCCATCCATCCATCCATCCATCCATCCATCCATCCATCCATCCA